TGATGCGTGGTAATTTGATGCGTGGTAATTCTACGCGTGGTAATTCAACGCGTGGTAATTCTACGCGTAGTAATTTGATGCGTGGTAATTCTGCGCGTGGTAACTCCACGCATGGTAATTCAGCGACTGATAATTCAACGCGTGGTAATTCAGCGCGTGGTAATTCAGCGCGTGGTAATTCAACGCGTGGTAATTCTACGCGTGGTAATTCTACGCGTAGTAATTCGACGCGTGGTAATTCAACGCGTGGTAACTATACTTTCCGGGAGTTACACGAGTTGTGAGACTCCTTGTATATAAAATAGATCAAGAAAGGGTTTGTAACTTAATCCAAATTACACCTTAATTGCAAATTAATTGTAACTTAAATATATTGTACCAGTATGTGACAAATTTTTCATTTATTATAAATATTAAATTAATGAAAATTGAACCAAGCTATCTAAATTTAAGATTCAAGAGAAATTTGAGTCACAGTAGAAGTGCGTCACACAAAGAGTTAAGTTAGTATTAATAAAATTAGAAATAAAAGTTTGCAAGTCAGAAAATGTACGATTTGGTATGCAACAATCTAATATTATTCCAATTAATATTACGCAGCCATAGGTCAGTAATACAACCTACCCTGAATTACATCATTGTTTTAGATACCGTTAGATGAGTGGCGTTTATAGAATAATGAAACACAAACGAATACATACCCGACATGTACAGGGTGCCTATTAATATCAACATTATCTGGTTTCAGATTGGCAGCGTTTGTACGTTGATAATTTTCTTTCGTGATCATCTCGGTTATGGTTGGTGCTATAAATCAGAGTTATTAACATATATCTTATACTTTGGTTGTCGGTTCATCTTAAATATCTTCCATATATCGTTTTTTGTAAATTTAGGACAATTTGCAATAGTTTACAAGTTGAAATTAATTTTCAACTATGGACATCATTTTTAATTCTTTTAGTAATCAGATTCTGAAGTATTAAGTTAATTTATAATTGAGATATAAGTCTCAATGCGTTATGAATATTATTAAATTAAAAATTATAAGAAAGATTGCTATTGCATGAAATTTTTGACATTTCACATTTGTAATTTTAATAAATAGTATTTCTTAATTTATCTTCCACAAATTTTGTCAGAATTACAACAATAAAAAAAAAATAAAGAAACGACAGAAAGATGAAGTGCTTTATGAGTGCTACTAAATTAAAAATAAATATTGCATATTTAATTAATATTAATATTGAAATCTTTGTCAACTCATATCTAAAATCCTAATTTATCTTTCACAAATTTCATCTTCTATAAATAACCTTAAATAATATTCCAATATTATATAATATTCTATTCTAATATTCTAATATTCTGAAAACCAATAAATAATATTCTAAAATATTTTAAAAAATAAAAATAATTGCAACAACTAAAAATATTTGGGTAGATCAGAGAACGAATATAAATGTTCTACTATAAACTAGAGGCTGCAAGAGCGCATCCATGCAAACGACAACACCTCCACCATCCTTTATAACGCAAGATTCATTAATTTACGACCCTCCATCATCTCGAATGACCTTTTATTATACCTCGTTGAACCCGATTCTACAATCATCACTGCGCTAAGGATAAAAATACAGCACTCCAATTAAAAGAAATTAAACTTGTCCTTGAAATCTCTTCCGTGTTTCCTTGAACATACAGCTGATTCATTCTATGACATTCTCTACATAATATGAAATCATATGTTCTTTGCGTGAGAACTTGATCGTGCAATAAGAGGAATATAAACAAATATATGGAAGATATTTACGATGAACGAAATTAATTAGTGTGTATAATCATTATGGATTTAAACTTGACAATGTCAAAATTGAAATACCAAATTGACAAATTTTCAAAAGAGTAAATTTGATAATTTAGAAATTTGGTAATTTGAAAAGTTGAAAAACTGGAAATTTGGAAATTTGAGAATTAGAAATCTGGAACATTTGCAAATTTAGAAATATATGAAATTTTCAAATCTCCAAAATAAATGAGAAAAATGAATAAAACAAAAAATATCAGAATATCGAAACTTTCAAGCTAACAAATTAGTCTACTTAAAAAGATTAAAAGTAGTAAAAATAAAAATATTCAAAAACTCACCTCCGGAATGTCGATTGTCTCTCTCATCGTCCGTCACGTTGACACGCATCGAATCATCCCCCATGGATTTCATGTCGTCAACAGTCATGTATCGATATTGCTGTTGGTCGCTAAGCATCGGATCTTCACCTATGACCAACGTAAAAACCAAATTACAACATCGATTACTATAACATATTCTACTTCGAGATATGTCCACAAGAATCAGGAGGAGAAATGTAAAAATCTAAAGTACTGTTTTGAGCTTGCATGAACAGTATGAACGTGGTGAAAGATTATGCATCAACGAAAATGAATGGGTATGAGGCTGCAAATAAACGGAAAATCATTGCCATGAAACTTATCTCAATCAAGCCCAAAGAAGCGAGATAAAATGTATCGTTAAACCTACACTCGTGAAACTTTCACTTGAAGTTTTAGTACAAATTGCGCGTGGTATAATTATTTTTAAAAACACTAAGAGTTTTTGAAGCGTTATGTAAATCTTGGTTGGTAAATCATGATAGACGTTTCTTATTCATGTGACGAATATAATTGTTATTCGTGTGATGATATGAATATGGTTTTATTGTGCAATAGGGACAAATATGCAGTTATGGTTTTTGAGAAATATTTAAATGAAACAGAAAATATGAATTTTCTATGAAAAATGACAAGAGCGAGGTTTGCAAAAATCGATAAGAAACGTCTATTAAATGTTACGAAATCGAATACAGGGTGTTACCTGTAACGCTATTAATGATTTTAGTAACTCATTAGTAACTCCACGCATGGTAATTCAGCGCGTAGTAATTCCACGCATGGTAATTCTACGCGTAGTAATTCCACGCATGGTAATTCAGCGCTTAGTAATTCCACGCGTGGTAATTCTAC